GCTTAATCTCGGAGATATAGGGTGTAGAAGTTTCAATTTTATTTCGATTTTCCAAATAGTTTCTGAAGTAACGTAAATATTTGAATGAACATTGGTGTCTGGGAATTTTTTAACATGAGAAATTTGATTTTGATGTCAATATGACTCCTACTGGTAGAGGGCGCCACCTACATGTGTTTTAACTGTTTTGAAGCTTAATAACTTTTTGTCCGTACCTGTATAAAACTACCGAGGGAAAAAATATACATCTCTGTGACTTTTTACGTAAAAAATATCTCTATGTCAAAATCGCTACGAGTAACCGTTCTCAAGATATTTAGAATGGAAATAGTCAATACATGTCATTATTGACGAAAAATAAACACGTTGAGTAGATAGTTATTTCACTGAAATAATAAATTTGAGAAATTTTTATTTTTTTAAATTAATCATAAATTTTTCTGCAAAAAAATGTTGATAAAACAGTTTCTGTTGAACTTTTGACACAAAAACTTTCAAATTTATGATCTCAGTCTAATAACTATTTAGTCAACATGTTTAATGTAAAAACAATACTCGTAGCGATTTTTACCAAGAGACATTTTTTACGTAAAAAACGTCGTAAAAGTATATTTTTTTAATCAGTAGTTTAATACAGATACGGACAAAAATTTATAACTCTTCAAAATATTTAAAAAATATGTAGGTGGCGCCCTCTACTAGTAGGAATCATATTGACATCAAATTCAAATTTCTCATGTGAAAAAACTCCCAGACACCAATTTTCATCCAAATATTGACGTTACTTCAGAAATTATTTGGAAAAAACGAAATAAAAATGAAACTTCTACACCCTGTATCTCCCAAACTAAGTATTTTAGGACAAACATTTATATGAACTTTTTTACTAATTTTTGTCAGTAAAATATGCTGCCGAAGTTTCCGGAATACAGTTCGGACCACCCTGTATATAATATGTCAACTTCGGACATTTTCGAAAATGGCTTATTTGAAATTGCAACATGAGATTCATAACTAGTGATGGGAAAAACCGATCAATTTCAATAATCGACTACTCGAGTATCAAGCGATTGCAATAACCGAGTGATCACTCGAGCGAAATATCGCTCGTATTTAAAAATACGGTTTTTTGTCCGTATCTCGAAAAACAATACTCGTAGCGATTTTTACCAAGAGACATTTTTTACGTAAAAAACGTCGTAAAAGTATATTTTTTTAATCAGTAGTTTAATACAGGTACGGACAAAAATTTATAACTCTTCAAAATATTTAAAAAATATGTAGGTGGCGCCCTCTACTAGTAGGAGTCATATTGACATCAAAATCAAATTTCTCATGTGAAAAAACTCCCAGACACCAATTTTCATCCAAATATTGACGTTACTTCAGAAATTATTTGGAAAAAAACGAAATAAAAATGAAACTTCTACACCCTGTATCTCCCAAACTAAGTATTTTAGGACAAACATTTATATGAACTTTTTTACTTATTTTTGTCAGTAAAATATGCTGCCGAAGTTTCCGGAATACAGTTCGGATCACCCTGTATAAAATAGTAGTGGGAACTATCGAATGAATACTATCGAAACATTCGATAGTTGCAATTCATTCGAATAATTCGATAGTTAGTAAGAAAACATTCGTTGAAAACTATTCGAATAAAAATTATCGAATAGATCCGTCATCTGCCTTGAAATATTGTATTCTAGTAATTCGGCAGCAAAAACCATTCATTTATAAAATTCATTCATTTATGAAATTCATTTATTCGTCAGGATCGATTGTAATAAAATATTAACTGAATTTTAGTTGTCGCCCGGCGACGTAGGTTTCATTCCGAGAAACCCGACAGCGGTCGGTGGCCATGCTATGAAAGAAGCCGGCATCTTTGATTTTTTGCGGAGTCAGATATAGATAAGGACACATTATTTTTTTTATTGAGGTGCTAGTATTTACACAGAAAATACATTATGAAGGGCGCTGTTGCCATATTTTGGTATTAGTTGATATTAGCAAAGAATATTATTGTTTGGCTTTAGTTAGTTAGGGTTAGTATGTCTATATATTCTGCATTTTTTTATTAATATTCTGTTGTTACACTGCAATAATACTTGTTATTTTGGATGTAGGAAAATGATTTTTAATGTTTTTAAGCAAAGACTGGTTTAATAAATAATAATAACAGTAATAATTTGTTATACCTATTAACAACAAAATTTAAAAAAATTTAATATAAATATTTTTTTAAGCAGTAGCAAAATATAAACAACAAATTAGATGTCAAAATTATTTATATTAGATCCTATTTAAAAGTAATATAGTCTCTAAATTTTTTGTGTGTGGCAACGTTGGTTTATTAAATAATAATAATTACAGAACTAATTTGTTATATTAACAACAAATTTTAAAATCATGAAATATAAACATTTATTAATTTTCTAAGCATGCAGTGGAAGGAAAATATAAATAAAAAATTAGAAATCAAAATTATTTATATTAGGTGCTTTATATTACTATTTAAAAATTATATTTACTTTTACTGGCATTTACTTTAAAAAATAAATGAAATATTTCTTCGCAAAAAACTACATGTAAGAGAATTAGCATAAACAAAATACAAACATCGTTAACTTTTTTTTTAAATTGGCACGTGTAAAACTTTCATTTTAATTTTCTCACCCCATAGTTTGAGTTCGATAACCCCATTTACTTAACCACATTACTTAAATATGATTATTAAGTTTAACTAATTCATATTATTGAAACATCTAAAATACAAATATGTATTTTTAAAATTAATTGTAAGTTCATCTCATCTCTCTTAAAAATTGCTACTTCTCAAAATTTCCCGTTAAAAAATAGACCATATATCATATAAAATTAAATAATTGAAAGATCGGACTACGGAAAACCACACAAATTTTCGGAAAAATTTTGACCACCTGCACATGCACACAATCATCAATAAATAAAATTAAAAAATAACTACTATTTTAGTATTTTAACTATTTTAATAAACGCAAAAATAGCACAGTATATACGGCGAAGTTATAAAAATTTGGAAGAACTAATAATGCACTGACGCATACAAAAATCAAACGAATACTAAATTTCATTTATCAAAAGCATTCGATAGTCTCAACGATAACCATTTAGTCGCACGGCGAGGTTGTCACATATGCTTTAGTATACAAATGAATGAATGATTTTATTCGAATAAAACCATTCGATAGTTGAAATCATTCATTCATTAACCATTCGATAGTCTAATTCATTCGATAGTTCCCATCGCTAGTATATAATGTCAACTTCGGACATTTTCGAATATGGCTTATTTGAAATTGCAACATGAGATTTATAACTAGTGATGGGAAAAACCGATCAATTTCAATAATCGAGTACTCGAGTATCAAGCGATTGCAATAACCGAGTGATCACTCGAGCGAAATATCGCTCGTATTTAAAAATACGGTTTTTTGTCCGTCGCATGTTGTAAGTACTCGTTAACGCCAAGCAGTAAGCTGCGTGCGCAGGGCACATATTCTTTCGGTAATGAACGGCAAGTAGTAAGCAGCGAGCGATTCGCTTGATCGCCTGATTTAGTTTATTTCGAAGCATTGTCGATGTAGATCGTAAAATTTTGTCTCTCAGATACGCAACGGATAAATATACCGGGTGCGGCTCAAAAGTGGATCTATAACTGTTTTATTTTTTCAGATAAAACAACGAGATTTGGTATGTTAGTATATGACATACATTAGGATTGATTGACATATTCAATTGTTTTCGGTCACTTCCGGTTTCACCGGAAATGACTGCAACTTTTGATTTTTAAATCGCACCCTCGGTATTTTTTTTACATTATTCGGTAGAAAATGACACTCTGAATAGAATATGGATATGGTTTATTTGAAATTGTAACATGCGGTTCATACCGACAATTTGACTCGAAGTACCAAGTGTGTGGTATCAAATTATTCGTAAAAAAATTCTTTTTCGAAATATGTTAATGATCCACCCTCGTTCCATTTGAAAAAAATTGAGATATGATCAAAAATATGATTTGGGCATCTTTTAACCGGCCAGGGCAAGACACTAAAACATTAGATGATCAAATCTATTTTTCCAAGGCTCCTTGATTAACAATTAGTGTTTTTAACGCAGCCATGGCACTCATTATTCTAGGATCACTTGCGTTCGTTGCTTGGTACTCGTCACTTGCATCGCTCGTTCATAATCGAGCGATGTCGGTTATTTCGATAATCGAGTACTCGAGCGAATTTTCGCTCGAGTTATCCCATCACTATTCATAACGACAATTTGACTCGAAATACCAAGTGTGTAGTACCAAATTAATCGTAAAAATACTTTTTCCAAATATGCTAGTGAGCCACCCATGTTCTATTTGAAAAAATTGAGATATGATTAAAAATACGATTTGTGCAGCTTTTAACCGACCAGGATGACATTAAAAACATTAGACGATCAAATCTATTTTCCAAGGCTCCTTAATTAAAAATTAGTGTTTTTAATACAGCCAAGGCACTCTAGATTGAAATTTAAAGTACGATTTTTTAAGCAAGAATATCAAAAGTTGACATAGGATATGGCATTCTATTCAGAGTGTAATTTTCTCTCGAATAAAGTAAAAAAATACCACAGGTGCCATTTAACAATCAAAAGTTGTAGTCATTTGCGGTAAAACAGGAAGTGACGAAAACAATTGGATACGTCAATCAATCCTCATTTATGTCATAAGTATACTAACATACCAAATCTGGTTTTTTTTTCTCACTTTTTCACTTTTGAAACGCACCCGGTATATATCCATTTTTTGTCAGTTTATATAAAAAATGTGTTAAAAATTCCACACAAAATTAAATAAACACTATGTTTTGTTATACAGACTGTGATGTCAAAATGAATTTGGTTTCTTGATATCTTTCAAGGTATGTCATTATAAATTATAACAAAACAAACACTAAAGAAATGACACTTACCTACTAAGGCCAAAATAACTGTCAAAAGAAGAGCTGACGGTTATTAATAATAAAACAACACTAAATAAATGGCATTTAAATAACAAAAAAATACTATACAAGTGTCACTTACCTACTAAAGCCAAAATAACTGTCAAAAGGGGAGCTGTCGGGAAAGCGATTGTCATATTCAGTTCTAGCATTTGTAGCAGGTCCACTGCAACAAATAATGTTATATTTTCTCAGTTCTTTTATAAATACTATTAAAAATACCTCTATCATTTAAAGTTCTGAAATTACTATAATATGATCGAAAAAAACGGCAGCAAAGGCAAGGGAGTGACAAGAGACAAAAAAATCTACTCAGAAAAAAAAAACAAAACAAAAAAAATTTTGGTCGATGGTAAAATGCTATATTTTTTATTTTTACCCCTATTTCCTTGAATTTTTTAGAAAATTGTATATAAATATATCAATTTTAATTCGTTAACTCACTATATTATAAACTTTAGTATTTGACTTATTATACAGGGTTAATCAAAGAGTTGTTTTTTACCATATCTTTAAAACACCCTGTGCAATAATTTCGTGAGAAAATTTTCTTAAAACATTATTTTTCGATCAGAACCATGCCTCTTGAATATTTTGTTTTTTGATATCATGCCTTGATTAATTTTTAAGAGCAAAATGAACTTGCCACAAACATTTTGCAATTCGTTAAATTATCGTTACTTTTTAATGTTATTCTTCATAATGGCGATGTGGCTTTGATGATTATTGTTGTGTACGATTGAATATAGTTCTTAGTATCAAAGCGTGTGCAAAAGTCATTGATCTTGTTGAAGATTAAATTATGAACATTCTAGGGCTGCACCGAGTACCGAGTAGTTCAGTGCTCGGCCAGAATTTTAACCGAGTAATATGTACTCGGTGCTCGGCCTTACTCGGCCGGGTAGGCCGAGTAAAGTAGTGATGGGTTGTTATTTAACTATCTGTTATTTTATAACAATTATTTAGAAAAAACATAACGCAACCGTTACTACTTTTAAAAAATAACAGATATAAAATAACGATACGCAGAGATCGACAGTTCGTGAAACGAAGTCGGCGCTCTGCACCGCCATAAAATTCGATGCTGCTCGAAGCAATTCCAAAAAACAACTAGTATGGATTATGGATGGAAAACATGTTATTTCGACAACCATCGATACAGGCGACGAGATACAATGGACAACGGAGTGGGGAATGCGCTACGGCGCGGCGCGGCGCGGCGAACGTAGCTGCATTGGTCGATGGTCGTGTGGGGCTTGCAACAGCTTAAAAATAATAGGATATAAAAGAAGCAGCTTTTTTGAAACAGTTGCGGGCATAATGCCTGGCGGTCGAGATAACAGGAGTGGGAAAGGAACGCTGCTGCATTGGTCGATTGTCGATGGAGGCTCGCAACGGGTTGGAGAAGCAGTCATTTTAGATCCGTTGTTTTTTAAACTGTTTCATTTAAATACGAGCATAACAGAGCGGCGGTCGAGATAATCGGAGTAGGAAAGTAACGCTGCTGCATCGGTCGATTGTCGATGGAGGTTCGAAACAGGTTGGAGAAATAGATACATTGTTTTTCAACCTGTTACGAGCATAACGGGCGGAGGTCGAGATATTATGGCGCTATATGTTTTAGTACTTACTTATTAAGTTTCAATATTTAGGTATTTATTTATTCTGAAAAATTTTCAGAATAATATTTTAAGATTTTTTAAAAATGTATACAGGGTGTTTTGAAAAATCTGGTCATTGATTAATCACGATCATTCTTAAAGCCCTTGAGTAAAAACTGATTTTTGGAAAACGGATTGACTTTAGGTTTGGTTTGGTTTTCTCGAATCTCAAATTCCAAGAGGGTGAAAACGCCCCTCAAATATTACAATATTTGTTATTTAAAAAACGGTTAGTCTTTCGGGAAAATGTTGGGACAGGCATAATTTATTATGTTTTTTTACATATTTTGAAATTTTTTAAAAAATCATACAGGGTGTTCCAAAAAGTTGAGTAATTGATTAACCACGATTCTGCTTAAACTACTGGACGTTTAAAGCTTATTTTTGGCAAATGTGAGAAAATTTTATCCAGTTTGTATGTTAATGGAAATTCTTGCTTTGCTTTATCATCACCATTACAAATTATTAATTCGACGCGAACAAAGTCGCGGGTACACGTTAGTTAAAGTGTAAAATTAATTTGAACTCTAGTGTGTAGTTGGTTTACTTATGAAGAATATACTACACATTTTCTTATATTGCTATTTTTTGACCGCAAATGGTAAAATCATAACTAATTCAGGCGGATCGAGGGGCAGGGCGTAGGGAGATCGGAATGTATAGGTATAGACGAGTGGCGGAATTTTGGCTTTTTTATATCGCAATTTGTAAACAGCGCTTATTTGTAAACAACCACCGTTTTTAGAGAGGTATTTTAGATAACAATCGATATTTAGAAATGTTTTGACACCCTGGAAATACTACCACCGAGCACTTCATTGTTGCAACTTGCAACTGCGTTAATACGCCTGGCGGTAACCGCCTCATACTCTTTCAGATATTTAGCAATAAAATAAAGAAACCTGTTATTTTTAAGCTGTTATTTTAAGCTGTTTTTTATAAATAACTATAACAGTTTCAACTGTTATCTAAAAATAACAGTTTTGCCCATCACTAGAGTAAAGTATAGTAATAGAAACAATCCATTTATGCATGTCCAAAACAGAAAGAAATGAGACTCACAGTGGCAAATAATGAAATAAACAAAAAGTTATTCATTCATAACTTTAATTAATGTATTTTAGCAAAGTAATAATAATAAGTATAAGTAATAACACAAACACAGTGAAATAATAATTTAATACTTATAATCTAAAAGAGGTCACCACTGTCACTCATTTTTTAACTTTAAAGGGTATTATTAATTGTTTGAATTATTTTTCACTTTTAAATTAGTTACACATATAAGTTTTGCTTAAAACAAAATCAACGTCGCCGCCACACCTTAAAAGAATCAGTTCAGAATCCAGCACATTAGAAATATCAGTTAGCATGGGGAACCACAGAACAAAACAATATCTCCATAAGCAAAACAAACCAGGTCATTGGTTTGTAGTCGGGGAATCCCAGCCGCTCGCCAATCATAGGCAAAACAAACAAGGTCATTGGTTTAAGGCCGGGGATTCCGGGAATTTTAACTAGCTTTCTTTAATGTTAAATTATATATCTATATTTATATTATGTATAAAATATAATATTATTATGTTATGGTGTATAGTATAATTAGTATATTATATTGATAAAGATCGCATAACTGTTAAGACTATTAAAAACCCGGCAATTCCACTACTCGGCAGCCGAGTACTAGGTACTCGGCCATTACCTTTAGCCGAGTACTCGGTACTCGGTCAAGTTAAAAAACAGGGCTCGTTACAGCCCTAGAATATTCGCTTGGTCCTTCAAGAGGAAAGGGAAAACATAACACAATATATTTGCAGCTTCATTAACGGTATGAACTGACGCACAATGGTTCAGATTTTGAAAAAGCTGCTTATAGATGCGAAAGTTCGAGTTGCAAATTTAGTATATCTAACACATTTATTATTGATACCAGACCTTAATCTACCTACACTTAAAATGGTTTTGACCAATAATGCATAAAAACATATTTACCGCGTTTTGCTTATCTTGTTTTGTGACCTATTTTTAAAGATGTGTGAAATGCAGTGTTGAGAAGTGGATTCATTCGATAGTACCGCATTGGAAACAAAATATTTTTGTGTAGAATATACCAGTATGGAAGACATAGGCAAGTGTTCATTTTTATATTTTATCCTTTGCAATACATATGTTACCGGTAATAATATATTGAATAAAAGAACATGTTATAATTTTTTCAAATTTTAAATTTAAATTCATAAAACTTTAGAGGTTTGCGAGGACCCACGTTAATTTTTTCACAGAAATATTCTGTTCACTAATAGGTTTCACCGTCCAAATTTCGCACCCCCTGCACATCCCTTGCGCAGTAATAATTATTTAAAGTAATAAAGTCTTTATCGTAAGTTTAGTACTAAGATTAGGTTATTAGGAGCAGATATTTGGTTTCTTAAATCATGCAAAGCCAATTCAGTTTATCCTAGTTTTATTAAAGTTGGTATTCCAAAAAGTAACGTTAGTGATAAGGTAGAGAAAATTGCAAAACAAAAATGGCTTGATTTAGAAATCAAATTTCTGTATAGTAAACGAAGTATGCTTGAAATTGAAGCCTATGGACTTTACAAAAAAACTTACTTATAAGCTAACTAATGTAGAGTATGAATGTTGGTGTCTATTTCAGAGAAATATGTTTGTGGTTATCAATTCAAAATTTGTTAAGAAAATGTCCATTTTGAATAATAAGTTTAAAAAATTAAAAGCTCTAAAAACAAACATGTTTTCCAAAGAGACATAAACATAGTAGAGAATCTTTCTTCGCAGACTTTTGATAAACAAGAGCTAAGTTTATTAAACAAAGGTTTAAAGTTTGCATTGCCCAACTCTGGTAGCGCTTTGGAGGAAATCGTCGTTGGTGTTGAAACTGCTATTCAGCACTTACCCGAGGCTTCTGAAGTACTTACAAGAGAGGCTTGTAGAAATCAGTTATCAAAAAATATCGTTTCAAGTAAATCATTAAAATCTAACAAGGAGCACAATATTGTCAAGGGTTTGCGTAACAAAGATTGTTTCTACCTAAAAGATATAAGATTATTATATTTATTATTAATAATATTAGATAAAATAAGATTAGATAAAAAAGACTATTACGATAAGGTTAACAACTTAATCGATAATGGCCCCTACATAAATTTGAAAAAGAATCCTTTGTCTAAGATGGTTGCAGACGTTAAAAAAACTCTAAAAGAATGTAACACCATTATTGATCTTTCTTTAAAGAGGAAATTGCAAGTATCCAATCCCTCATTACCAAAATTGTATGCTTTGCCAAAAATTCATAAACCGGACAAGTCTATGCGCCCAATTGTTTCGGCTGTAGGTTCTGCGACTTATAATTTGGCAAAATGGTTATCAATGGAGTTCGAAAATTTACCTAATTAGGAACCTTCTTTCTCAGTTAAAAATAATATTGAATTCATTAACAAAATTAAAGATATAACATTGCATGAAGGTGAAATTTTGGTCTCCT